AAAAATTGATCCTCCCTTCTCCCATCTTCGTCCTGACCCCATTTGTCTGATCCCATGTTTCCTTGCTCGTGCGCCGGAGTAACGCATATCTCTCTTCTGCGCCCAGCGGTGAAAATCTGCTGCACAGCGCCCTGCAAGGAGAGCAGTCGACCGTGGGCGATCGTGAACATGCTGGAGGGGTTCTGGCCGGCAGAGCGGCAACTTGAAGCAGACAGGCGGCACAACGGACGCGGACTACTCGTCTGTCACCCTCCCAGATGGATATCGGTGAGTGGTCACCTGACCAGGGTCGGGGTGAGCGGGAGCCCTGCCCTTCAGGCATCAGACACCCATAACCCTTCCCATAATGCATCTCATCCCTCAAAACCCGCTCTGCCCCCACTGGTGGGAGGGCTGGTTGTGTACCGCGGGCCAATGGTTCCTCCTTCGGGGGGGAAGCCAGGAGGTGTGCAAGGAGACGACGCAGATGGCCTGTCGCGTACCAGTGGGGCATCGCCTGCCGCCTGTGCCGCTCTGCCGGCCCGTGCAGAATGGCCTCCAGGCCTTGCGATCAGGACAAGCTGCATCCCCAGGAGCCTGGTGGTATGAGAACGAAGGCTGAGTCAGATGGGCCAGCCAGCGTGACATTGACCCCTAAAACAGCTGGCAAGCTTTGTCCAGTAGCTCTTATGCAAGGCGATGGGGCGCCTGCTTTGGGTGTCGGGTCCCCATCTGTGTAAATACAGTCAGTGGTGGGAGGCAGAGGGGCCATTCCTGGACCCGAAGGTCTAGCACAGTTTTAAATTGGAGAGTTTTAGCAAAGTCCTGCTGCAGCCACTTTAGGAGACTGAAAGCAGTTTGGCTCTTCCTGGAGCTGGGGTCTCTCTGCTGTTTTCCTCTCTCCCTTTTCTATCATCTCATCTCCTTCGGCCTCATTCTTGGTTGATGGGACTCAGCATGGCCAGGAGGTCTCCATGAGATCCGCCCAGGAGAGGATGTACGGAGTCTGTGGACCTCTGCCCCCAAGTCCTGTCACTCCTGGGCCAGGGCCCCTCACAACCCCCTTCCTCGCCCACCCCTCTCTGACCAGCGGGACCACATAACGGCGAGGCCACTCTCCCGGCCAGAGGTCTGGGTTTTAGGCCTTCCTTCTCTGCCAGTCCCCTGCATGATGAACGCCCTCTCCCCCTTCTGTCAATCAGCAAGTTGATTGAGATCCCTAAAATTCCTTAACAGCCTGAAACAAAATTTCCATGTCTGCTGACATGGCATCTCAGGTGGCTGACCCGTCACCTCTGGATGCCTGCATGGTGATGTGTATGCGCTCCTCAAGCTCCTCGTCTTAAGGGCCATCCGCCGGACGCCCGACTGAGGTGGACCTGGCACCTGTGACTGGGTACACAGTTGGGGGACGCGGCCGAGGGCGAGTCCCAGGTGGGCCTGGGCACGGAGCCCCTGCCAGGGGACCCTGTGCTCGCTGAGCCCTCCCTGTTCCCTACCCCACATCCTGTGACTCCTGAAGTGTGCCATTTCGCACCCTGGAAGCAGGGCCCGTCTGCTGATCACGTCCCAACCCCTCTCTTCTGCCTCTAACCTCATGTTGACCTCTGTGCACCCACGCTATCGTGCTGCCTGTCTCCACTGTCTCCACTGTCCCCATTTTGGCAGGCACAGAGCCGGCCATGTCCACATGCATGTCATGGCCCCCAGCCCTGTCTCCCCATGCATCTCATGGCTGTGTCCTAGGCGTACATGTGTGTGCGCCTGTGTGTGTGTGCATATGTGTGTGCGCGTGTGTGCATGCATGTGCGTGTG